AATAGGCAGCTGGCTAGGGAGCAGCAGGATGTCCCGGGAAGAAAGATCTGGAAGCAGACAGTCCAGAGCCACAATTCTGTCACCACGGCTTCCTGGCTACAAAACAATTAGGCCAGTTCTTCAGCTTCTGGGCAAAACGGTTTTCTTATCTGAAATGAGGGATTATTAATATCTCGGAGGGAGGTTGGGAGGATTAAGATGAGGTGAGCTCTCTGAAAATACAGGTCGCTAGCAGAGGCACGACCCCCTGCAGCTCTTTTTTACTCTAAGACCAAAGCAGCCCGCACTGCACTGCATCAAATACTGCCTCTCACCAAGTCACCAGACTTCTCATTCGGGTCTCAGATCTCTTTAAGGATCTGATCAACAGAAAAGTCCTCCGAAGTAACCCAATTTGTAGACAATTTCAGGAGAGTCACAGATTCACCTGAAGTGCGCAGTGAGCCCAAGGGAAGAGTCCCTCTGGCAAGAGCCTACTAATTTCATCTTTTCTTCTAATGGACTGGAGTAAATGGTGCCGAAGAGCTTTCCTTGCCCATTGCTTAAAATGGGCAACCCTTCTGCAGAGACAAATGGATTCCTATTTCCCCCAATGCTACTGATTGGCCAGCAGGTCCTTGAAATAAGCCATTAGCTTGGTAGAGTGTAAACAGCCTTGCCAATTTCCCTTCTTCAGGGGAAAAAAAAAAGTGCAAAAGGGTAATTGGTAAAAAGGGGTCAAGGTCATCCAGTATGATTACTCTATTAGTTTCCTATTGCTGCTATAACACATTACCACAAACTTCGAACACTCTTGATCCAACACAAATGTATTATCTAACAGCTCTGGAGGTCAGAAGCCCAAAGCAGGTCTCACGGGGCTAACATAAAGGTGTTGGCTAGGCTGCATTCTTTTCTGGAGGTTTGAGAGGAAAACCTAATTGTCTTGCCTCTTCTACCTTGTAGAGATTGCCCATGTTCCTTGGCTCATGACCTCTCTCCATCTTCAAAGCCAGCAATGGCCAGTTGAATCTTTCCCATACTTAATCTTATGTCTCCCTCTTCCACATTCAAGGACCCTGGTGATTACATTTGGCCCATCTAGATAATCCAATACAATCTCCCTATTTTAAATCTAGCTGATTAGAAAACTGAATTCCATCTGTTGCAGTCCCCTTTGCCACGTAATACAACATATTCACAGGCTCTGGAGATTAGCAAACAGACATCCTTGGGAGGCCATTATTCTATGCACTGTATAGTCACTTGCTTGGTATTTTTTATGACAAGCAAGGAATAAGCCCTGTTACAAGTCCTGATCCATCTTTGGAGTTTAGAAAAGCAACAGTTGACAGTATTTTTTGAATTGTCATAACAACTTATTATTGGATAATAAAATCCCTTCAAAAATCATTATCATCTCAATTGGGACTCTCAGAAACTACATCTACACAATTCATAATTTCTCATTGACTTAATGTCTTCTAACTCCTGATAATTTAGGCAACTGGAGAAATTCTTTACAGCTCACTACACAAAGGAAAGAGAACTCACGTGTATTTTGTAAAGCAAGTTGCAAATACAAGTAGAGCTACCCATGAAGACTAAACAAAGCTTGCATAAATGAGGAAATCAAGGCACCGTTGGCAAAAGAAGGGGACACGGCCGCTCAGAAACACCACAGGCTGCACCACACATTCAGCATCTGGCTTGCAGTCCCATCTCTAGAACGTTCCTCGTTATATCCTTCTGCAAATCAAACGTCCTCATCTTTCTTATTCCACTGGATTGTTGGTTTTTGTTTTCCTCCAGGGGACCTGACTACTTGGTCTCTGATCCTTCCTTCACTTAGCACCACCTAACACCATAAAAATAGCTTCTAGTCCATCATCTTAACCATTTTTAATACATGCTCCACTGTCCTTGGCATTCATTTGGTGCTTAGTCATATTTTCTCCTGTTGTCCCACTCTCCAAAACAATTATTTTATACCTTCTCTATAACCATCCAATGCCTCCTTCTCTATTCACAAATACCGTGGTTTCCTTTCCTTCTGGAAGCGTGGTTAAGATTGCACTCCATAGCCCCACTTTAAAGTTAGATATGGTGATAGTGCTTCTTTTGGGCAATGATATGTAGAAGGGTGGTATATCACTTCCAAGGACAGGCTTTAGGAGGCAGATGCCACTCCTTTCCCCCGCCACCCCCCCTCCCGTCTCAGCCATAGAGGAGCACAAAGCGCCCCCTAGCTTCCTGGTGAGTTACAGCAGCAGCCCTGGGCTCACCAGCAGTAGACATTTAGCAAGGGAGAAACAAGCCTTTGATGTGATAAACTGCTACAATACAGAGGCTGCTTGTTACTACAGCATAACCTAGTCCAGACTTTGCTTCCTATTTCAGTGAGAAAATAGAAGCAATCAGAATAGAACCCTACAATGTCCTGCGACCACATCTGCCAGTAATTAGTCACTATATATTTTCTTTCCTCCTGTACTATGGAAGAATTCTCCATATTCCTAAAATTAATCTTTCAACTTGTACACTGGATTGCATCCTCTTTTATCTGCTCAAGGCCATCATTCCAGCATTTATCTCTTTGTCTCTTACATCATGAATTTTTCACTCACTACTAGATTACCTCTATCAGTAAATAAACATACTATAATATCTTCTTTCTTAAAAACAAAACAAAACAAAAAACAACAGTAAAAACACCTCTTCTCTAGTAGCCCCACTCTATTTGAAATGAGTCGCAATACTCTCTCCTGTTTTCTCTGGAATGATCTCCAGTTAGGTTTCTGCTTGCCCCTCTACATTGAAACTGCTCTTGTCACCACCACGAATGACACTGAATTTGCTAAATCCAGTAGTCAAATCTCAATCCTATCCAACATAACATTGACTTGGTTGACTACTGTTTTTTGGGGGAGGTAAATTAATCCTCAGAGTTGAGTTTGTCTGTGCCAGCTATTTATTTATCACAGGTTCACTGCAGGAATTTCATAAACCCATAACATACAGAATAATATCTCTTAATACCCAATAAAGAAATAACATCCTCCAAAACAATGATAAATTAACCACACTATTGTTCCAGGCCAGGGAAGATAAAGGAAATAGGGCGAAATTTAGTTGAAGTGTACCTTTATACCAGTTGCTACTCAGGAGAGCTGGGTTAGCCAACCAACCGCTGATGTCCCTGGTTGCTAGAGCACGTTGCTAGGGAACGATGGTGGCCCTGTTGATGGGCAAGAAGATCTCCTTGGCCTGCCCCTGCTTAGGTTTTGCTACTGAATGGCTTTTGCCGCTGAAGGTCAGAATTGTCTTTAGAGTAGCAGGAGTTAATTGCCCCAAGGTCTTTTAAGAGCTATTGAGATTAGCAAAGAGAATCAGCTTGCTCAGACCACTCTCAGATAGTCCTTACAAACTCCCGGTGTTTATAGTCTAAATGTCCACCTGCCATAGTTGCTTCTTGGTATGTTTTTACTGATAAGCCCCCAGTGCAGCCCCTCAGCAGCTAAGCTCCAGAACGCTTATAAACAACAATAGATGAGATGACAATATCCTGTCACAGCTTATTTCATTCTTGATCAAAACAACTTTACTCTTAAAAACAATTTTCTTTTTGTTATAAACAAGTTGATTTGAAAATCATAACAAACTAACACACAGCAGCCACATTCCTTCCTTCTTGAAGTAATTTCTTCATTGGGCTCCTAGAACACAGATGTCCCTTAGTCCTCTGCCTACCTCACTGACTACTTCTCCGACTTCCAAACTCTGAATGTTGAGTGACCCCAATCACCAAACTTTTGATTCCCCACAACTTACTCTTCTTGCAATTTCTCCAGCTCACTAAATAGCAACTCCATCCTCCCAGCTAGGCCCAATTTTGTGGAGTCATCCCTCTCTTTCTCTCATACTCCATGTTCAATCTGTCACAACTCTTATTAGTCCTACCTTCAAGGTGTATACAAAATTAACCACCACTCACCACCTGCACTACCACCACTCTGGACCAAACCCGAATCATCTCCCCAGAGAATTATTTCAATAGTCTCCTAAATGATCTCTCTACTTCCTCCCTGCCCCATAGAGTCTATTCTCAACATTACCCTCTCTCCCTGAGTCCTTCTGTATGCATGTCCGCTAAATGCCTTTAAAAACTGGTGATGTTGGTTGTTGATTTATTTTTTTATTTTTATTTTTTTATTATGTTATGTTAATCACCATACATCATTAGTTCATGATGTAGTGTTCCATGATTCATTGTTTGCGTATATCGTGTAAGACTGTTCAATCACGGACCTATACCTCTGAAACAAATAATACATTATATGTTAAAAAAAAAAAAAAAAGAAGAAGACGATGATTTAATGAAGACAGATGGTTGAGACAGACCCTGACCAGCTTTTTGGAGTAAGGGGATTCTTCAGCGCTTGAGATGTAAGGGAGGCTGTGATTTCACCATGGGATTGCTTTCACTCCGGAGCCGTTTATGGCTAGCCCCAAATTCTCTCAGTGCTTTTGTCTCTCCTAAATTACTTTCCTGTGCCTCGGTTAAAATGTACATCGACTGCCCACCTTGGAGTAGAGTTCTTTATTTCTTCCCCCAATCAGACGCGGAGTCGCTCAAAGGCAAGATTTTCGGCCAATCCTGCAGAACCCTCCGCCTCCTCCAAAGGCACACCACCCTCCGCCTCCCCCCTACCCAACTGCAATCCCGTTAAAAGTTTGATGGCGTGCGGTTGAGTGGAGATGAGCAAACAAGCCAAAGTTCGGTCGGCCAGGGACGGTGCAATGCCTGGGGGGCAGCCAGCAAGGCCAGGAAGGGGTAACACTTCTTTCCCACAAGGGTCTGGGAAAACCCGGTGAGGAAGTGGCGGAGGAGGGAGGGAGGGAAGGAGTCTGGAGGGAAAGAGAAGGGTGGGGAGGGAAGAGGACGGGGAGGAGGGAGGAGGGGAGGGAGGAAGCAGAGGAGAGGGTGCAGGGGGAGGAAGGAGGCGGAGGAGGGGGAGGAGCTTCAGGAGGCGGCCGCGCGGCCCGCTCCGACCTGCGGGGCCCGTGGCCGCATGGCTTCGGTGTCCGCTGCGGCCCTTTCGGGCCGCGGGGCCCGGAACCTGCTGCAGTTCCTGCGGCTGGTGGGGCAGCTCAAGGTGAGCGGGCGCCGGCCGGGCCGTTTGGGGCCGGGCGGGCGGCGCGCGGGGAGAGGCGGGGGTGGCCGCGGCGCCCCGGAGCTTCGGCTCGCGGGGGCTGGGGCCTTCGCGCTCCCTCCCTCCGGCCTCCCCGCCTCGCAGGGGTGGGCCCAGAAGCTCCCCAAGACGGCGGGGGGGGGCGCGTCTGCACGGTGGGCGGAGGAAGCGCGGCGGGGCGCCGGGCCACCCCAGGCTCGGTAGAGCCTGAGCCGCAGGAATCCTTGCGGGGAGGCGAGGCTGGTGCGAGGCGGGGGCCGGCCTGGGCAGCCGTTCGCGAGGTTTCTGGAGAGCAGCCAGCGCGGCGATGGGTGGGACCCCCCGTGCTGGCCTGCTTCTGTCCTGAGTACCCCTGGGGCTCACGACCCCTCTGCTGGGCCTCTGAGCCGCGGGCGGGAAGAGCAGAATCCGGCAGTCCGGCAGATTTTAAGTGGGGTGCCTTAAATCTGCCTCTTAGCTACTTCTGGAAATAAGACTTTTTTTTTTTAACAGAAGATTTTACATAGTGCACACTGGAGTTGTATCCTGTGCGGCCTTCCTTTCCATGCTAGCCTCCTCTACCCATAATTGGTGATTTTGCAGAATTTCTACAAGTTAAAAGCGGATTATCTGTGTCCTGCCGTATTGCAACTGTTGATACAATTCTTTAGAAGTGCAGACTCCTGGGGAGAAAATGCAGTCTCACACGATCACATCCTGATCTGAACAAAAGGCAGAACATGACTGGTGGTAGCAGGACCAACTAGAAATGCCTTCCTCCTTTCTGCTTCCAAATTGGGAAGTCTATCACTTGTTCAAGGTCAGAGCTTTCACCGGTGTTTTCTGCGCGTGTTGAATGGGGTTGTTTGAAGGCAAAAAGTCCCAACTCTTGTAGTTAGGAAAAACACAATACTTTACAGTTTTATCTTTATGTCTAAAGGGCTCGTATATGTTCCGTAATTTACACCTTAGTAATGCAGAGTAACTTGACTGTTGGACTCTTGCATTGTATACCTGTGAATTATTTCTCCTTCTTTCTTATTCTCTGACCCCACTGGTTTATTTGATTCCAGATGTTGATCACTTGGTTAGTTAAGCATTTTTTTTGGTAACACTTTCTGAAACCATGACCCTGCTTCTATACCCTATTTCTTGGACTTCCTTGAAGAGCATTGCAGGTAGTTTAAATATTTATTTTTATAAGCTTCTTTCTCTTCTTCATTTTCATCAGAGAGTCCCCCGGACTGGCTGGGTATACAGAAATGTGGAGAGGCCAGAGAGTGTATCAGATCACATGTACAGGATGGCAGTTATGGCTCTGGTCACCAGAGACGACCATCTCAACAAGGACCGGTAAGCTGATGTGAACTCTGACGCTTGTTAGCATCTCTGGCCTGTGGGTATGCACCGCTTCTCATGACTCACGGCTCTATCTAATTCTTGCAGGTTAGTTGATCTGTCAAGAGAAATTATTTGCGGCAGACCATACAGGTTCAGGCTGTAGGAAGGGGAATTTCGTGTGTGATTTCTTCAATTGTAAACTGCATTCTGGGCTTTCTCTTGGCAAGTGATAGAGCTTGCCGTGGTCTCGAGAAGACGTAAGTGTGATATTAGGATTTCCAGGGCCTTGACAGTGAGGTGTGGTATGTGTAAAATTCTGTCATTGTATTAGGATGCTGTGTGCTTTAATCTAGCCCCTTTCATGAATACTAGCACCTGTTTGTGGGGTGACTTTTTGGAGGGGTATTTGCAAGATGTAGCTGAGAAAGAGGTATCCTGTCCTTCAGTCAGTAAGTGTCTAAAATGCTTTTTGAGCACAGGACAGAGTTTCCGAACAATATTAAGACAGTAAGTAAATCTCCCATGGATGACACAGGTCCCAACTGGCTTCTATAAAAAGCCCCAAATTAGTTATATTCAAAAATTAGCAAGGTTGGGGCACCTGGCTGGCTCAGCCGGTAGAGCACGACTCTTGATCTTGGGGTCATGAGTTTGAGCCCCACGCTGGGTTTAGGGATTACTTTAAAAATAGATAAATACATAAAAAGTTTAAGGAAAAACTAGCAAGGTATTCTAATAGAAGAGATCACGTGTTCTTGGGTGATCTTAATGGAGGAGGGTGGAATGAATCTGAGGAGTTGACAGGGTAGAGAAGCAGAAGGCATAGTGTGCAGAGAGGAGGGTATAACCAAAGCCCCGATGGTAGGAAATGAAAGTCTATTTTGGAAATGATATGTAAATCGATTTGTAGCAAAGGTTCATTAGAGTTGAGGAGCCCTGTTACTTTGTAGATGGTGTGGAAGTGGGATTTTTGGCAAAAAGTACAAGACAAACGTGGTGGGGAATAGAGATAACAAACCTAAGAGTAGTTGGAGATTTGAACTAGATGACAGAGACAGGCTGCAGGTGGGACACCTGTGAGGAGGTTGTTAGGCCTTGTGCTGCCTTGGAAATAGTAGGCACGTGGAACAGGGGCGTTTATATCATGACCTGCCTCCATTATTTTGACAGTGATTATCCTCATCACTAATCATTATTACTGATAATCATGGCCATTTGCTTAATGATCAACATGTGCCAGGAACACACATGATCAAATTTAGTTTTTATACCAATCTTAAGATGTATTACTGTCCCTTTTTTACAGGTGACAAAATGAAGGCTGACAGAATCGAGCATTTAAAGAAATTAAGTAACTTGGCAAAGGTCACACAGCTAATAAATGGTTGCTGGATTTGGACCCAGATCTGTCCTACTCCACCCATTTCTCCATGAGGGGCTCATTTTTGACATCTAACTAGTATATTGGGGAAATGATTGTTTCTGAATTTTTTTATCAGTAAGTAAATTCTGTAACCGGATCATCTCCTCCTGGCTTTGTCATCTGAAGTTATCAAACTTTTCAAGTGATATTTGAAAAACCAGCCATTAAAAAAAAAAAAAAAAATCCATGCTAACAATTTCCCCTGCATTCATGTATTATTGTGTTGAGTATTCACTAGAAGTTTTGAATCAGACTGTTGTGGGCTAGTAGAATATAATTACTTTAGAAAATACTGCATTAACATACCCTGTGAGGGTGGAAGAAAAAAAAATGCATCTTCAAAATAGTCTAGAGAAAGAACTTATAGTGAATCTAATTTTGTGTCATTATTCACCATTTCTCACCTGGTCAGATGTGTACGCCTAGCCCTGGTTCATGATATGGCAGAATGCATCGTTGGGGACATAGCACCAGCAGATAACATCCCCAAAGAAGAAAAACATAGGCGAGAAGAGGTCAGTGTTAATTCTTGACTCCACCAGAGATACCTGTTGCTGAAGCAAAGCTAAGTTTATTGGACCCGTGGCGGTAAGAGAGAGCACCTTGGCAGAGTTTGAGCAGTGTCTCAGGCAGGGGAAATCTGGAGAGGATGTTTATAGAGTTTAAGGGCCTGGGCTGGAGGATGGTTAGATGGATCTTATGAGACGGACCGCTAGTTAGATTGCACAGAGTGTAGGACAGAAAAGCCTTGGATTGGCAGGACTGGTGAGGCAGAGTCTTAACGAGAGTCTTGAGGAGTAAGCTGTTAGTGCTTACTCTACTTGGGTGGTTGATGGTCTTAACTTCCAGAAGCAAGGATGTCTTCCTGGCGTAAGTAGCACACTGGTGTTGGTTGGTCTCAACCTTGTTTAACACGAGATCAGGAGTACATGCCTGCTCCCAGCCTTGTCTAACACAGGGACAGGAAACTGTTGGGTTTCTGTTCTCATTAGTAGGTGGACATAGATAGTATGGCTTTCATTAGAATGAGGGAAGTAGCTAGAACTGGAAGGAATTCTCATCCTGGTTAAGCTCTTTGGAAGAAAGTTCTGTAAATCACAAGTCTAATCATTATTATAATTACTTGCGAATTTTCAATTAGTCCTTTAATTTATTGGTTAGAAGTAACAAAAAATATTTGTAATAGTAAGAAATGAACATCAAAAAAATATTAAATCGATATCAATTTGGGCTCTAAATCCAGAGCCCAGGGCCAAGGAGAAAGACATATTTGAGGCAGAGGTCGGAAAATCCAGGAAGGTTTTGTGTTTTTGTTTTTGTTTTGTTTTGTTTTTGTTTTTTTAATGTTGAATAGCTGGTTCTTAATTTGGGGATTATTGCAAGCTACTTTTATTATAGGAGATTGGTCCTAAATTGCTAAGTGGATGGATCCTTCATCAAAATTCTTTAACAGGGCAGGTGAGCTTGAATAGTTGTTCTCAGAGCTGGGGGAGACTGGAGTTCAGTAGCCAGCTGTATTTTTATCACCCCAGAGGCAAGAAGCTCCACAAGGAATACCAATTCAGGAATTCTGACATTATGGGAACAAGGAAAATTGTGTAAGGAAAGAGTTCTTCCTGCCAAAATCCAGATCCAGAATATAGCTCAGCATCATGACAGCCTATAAAAAGGGAGAAGGCTGAGACATTGTTTCTCTATAGGAGTCTAGACTGTTGTGAGTAAAGAGTTCCTGGATTGATGGGCAGAATTAATATGAAAAGAAAGCAATTAGTTCAAGATACCAAGTGGCAGAAAGGAATTAGCCCTGAACCAGAGGATGTCGAACGATGACAGGACATAGAGGAAAGGGATGGGGAAAAAGACGCCCTAATTATACAGCTCATTTCAGGATGTAGGGTAGTTTTATTCAAGGGTCAGTGTGGACATTGTGGAGGAGAAATGGTACACTGAAGTACCAGAGGGTCCTCAGAGACCGTAAAGTGACACAGAGCAGGGAGAAAAGACAAACTGTCCCCATGAAGGTACATAATGAACTTGAGGCTTCCTCCACAGAGGAGCAAGTCAGAGTCTTTTGGAGAAAAAAAGAGTCCATGGGCAGGTTCTCCAGCCACTGGAGATGAGAGAAGACCCGCTACTGTTTTGACAGAAGTGAGGCCTGGCCGGTGACACTTCATGGAGGGGCCTGGTGCGGCATGAACAGAGAGAGTGCTTCTGCCCTCCTGGACGCCCTATCCTGGCAATGATGGGAATTTTTCCGGCCTCGTTATACCTCCTGGCGGCTCCCCACTCGTGTGTTTCCCAGGGGACTCAAGGCCATGATCAGGAAGGCCAGGGAAAGCATCTTGAAGAACCGCAGGTTCTTAGACAAGAAACCAAAGGCTTGGAAGAGGGCTGGTAGTCCATTGCCTCTTCCTGCTGCTGGTTAGGATTTGGGAACAGAGAGAAAGATCTGGAAGGTGAACAATTCTTTATGCAGATGGTGTTTATGAGTAAGATTTGGATGTCTGAACCATGCATTAAGATAATTAAATGAGGGTTTCTTGGCTCAAGGTGGAATGCACATAATGAGAGTCAGGCAGCATGATTTGCCCAGAGGCTAGCCAACTGCATCAGGAAGGCTTACGCTGAAGTAGGAGGGAGGGAAAATACTTGGTGAACTTGGAAGGCTGATTGTTTTGGAGGGGAGCAGGTATTAAGATGAAAGGGAAAATGAGGACATGGAAGAAAAAATTTAGGGCCAAAAGCAATACTTGTTGTCTGATCCCCTTCCTAAACAAGATAAAACAAACTTTATATTATAACCCGAGTGCCTCATAGGGATCATCAGGAACCCATAGGATGGAACTTGAGGCTGGAATATAGCAATAGCAGGTTATATTGCTTTTTGAAGAGAGAAACATGAAGTCAGAAGGCAGAATCATGGTAGGTATGTATCTGCCAGGGTTAAAGTTGCTAAAAGTTGCTGAAGAACCAAGAGGTTAAAAGGAGAAGAACCAAGCTTTATTATGGGAGTGAACATGGCAAAATAGAGAAACTGAAAAACATAGTGAACATTTTATAGAGTGCTGATTATGTGCCAGATACCACAGGCTTTGTCTGTATTACCTGTTTCATCCTCACGACAGCCCTTTAGGTAGATGCATGCCATTTTTCACCCCATTTTACAGATGCGAAACCTGAAGGACAAAGAGGTTAAGTACCTTGCTCAGGGTTCCACAGCCAGTCATAGGTGAGTCAGGTCCCAAACCCCATTTGAATCTATAGTTTGCAGTTAACTCCTTCGCTGCTTAGCCCCACCAATGGTGTCTGAAGGATGCAGGATGCTTTCTGGGTGCTTGACACAAAAGTGACCCAAGACATTTGCTGAAAGCTTATTCAGCTCAGGACTTTTGGCAAATTCTTGGCATGCTTTGCTAACGGGAAGAAGCTAGGAAAATTATCACCCTAACTGTGTGTGGACAAGGCGAAACTCCTTCTAGAAGTGGGAGTGGCAGGGCTCACCACGGGGAGGGCAAGTCTGGCATACGCAGCCAGCTACCCCGGAGTTGAGCGAAGTCATTTTCGGAGGGTTCATTTAAAAAGGTAGGCACAATTCTGTGGTGCGTGTTGCCAAACAAGGAATATCGACTACCTCGGAGGTCTCGAAAGTGCAGTCTGACTGTATAATAACAAATGATATCAAGGAGTATAGATCCAGAAAATCGTTGTTAAAGTTTCAAGAAGAGAGCAACAACATATTTGTTATTGGTTTTGGTTTTTTGTTTTTTTAAAGATTTTATTTATTTATTTGACAGAGACACAGCGAGAGAGGGAACACAAGCAGGCGGAGTGGGAGAGGGAGAAGCAGGCTTCCTGCGGAGCAGGGAGCCCGATGCGGGGCTCGATCCCAGGACCCTGGGATCATGACCTGAGCTGAAGGCAGACACTTAACTGACTGAGCCACCCAGGCGTCCTGCTAATTATCTCTTAATATCCCCTTTCAGGCTATGTGTGAGCCTACAAAATACTCTTGTGTCATTTCCTTTATGTTAATGACAATAACTGCCCATTTGTGTAGTGCTTTGTGTTATGCAATAAAAGTATTAACAATAGAACGTGAATATAATAGTATACAAACAATTTCTTTGAGCTTTGTAATTCAGTGTTACTTTCCTGTTCTTGTTCTCAGGTTTGTTTTGAACTTTAGTATGTTTATGCTTGAAATTTACGTGGGCATCTTGCGATTCATCCGTAAGATGTAAAATCCTTGGCCTCACTTCTGATATCTCTGTAACCATCCCACACCCTCCTCCTTGTCCTTTTGGTGTCTGCTGTGCTGCAGACCACAAAACATATGCTCAGCGAAGCCCATATGAATAAATACACACGTTTCTTTAATGTTCACAACTGCCCTCCTTGTAAGCCGTAAATATTGTCCAATATTCCGCTGCCCTTTGGGGAGCTATTTGTGAGAGTTTGAGCCCATTATTCGGCTTTTGTAGTTGAGTTGTTAACTAGATAAATGTGATCATGATTAAAATAATGGTTTGATATTTCAGGAAGCTATGAAGCAGCTAACCCAGCTCCTCCCAGAGGATCTCAGAAAGGAACTTTATGAACTTTGGGAAGTAAGTATATATGATACGTTGCTTTTAAGTGTATTGTGATGGAATTTATGTGGCTCGTCAGTGTTTTAGTTGACTTAGATGATCATCACAAGCTGTCTCTAACTTACTTTCTGGTTTGTGTCTGTTTCTTACCTCCTGGCTGCTGCAGGAATTTCTCGTGGCTAATAGAAACTTTTCTTCTCTCCAATTTCCCCATTTCCCTTGACGCCATAATGCCTGGTACAGATCTTGACTCAGAGCCCCCTGGATTTCCTGTTGCATTGCTCTCATTCCCCTCCCATTCCGCCCCCCCCGCCCCCCCGCCTGCCAACCCCACACCCACCCACCCATTTCTGGTCCTTGGAAAGAACATTGGCCCTCACCACTTCCTGGCTCTGACCTTGGGCATATTCTCCTCTCTGAGTCTGTTGCCCATCTGTGAAACCTTGAAGGGTTGTTTAGTTCTGAGTCAGGTCCAAGTGAAGTGCTGCCATGATGCCCAGGGCAGAGCGCGGCCCTGTGGGTGCTCACTCCCCTCCAGTGCTTGACGGCATAGGGGTTGGCTGGACGGAAAGGGCAGGAAGAGTGGAAAGAGCAAAGAAAGCCATTGTGCTCCCATTGCTCCCCTCCTCCTAGCACTGGTTTTCATTTGTGGAGGAAAAACAACAGCAAACAGACCCTTGTCTACTGCAGTTTCTCACTTCCCTCCAGTCCACACTGGCCATTGCTTGCTTGAGTCCTTAGCCCCCCTCCTTACCCTTGGACATCACTACCTCATACTCTCACTCCTCCCGGCTCCTTTAAAGCCCTGCTCGCCGCTCCTGCCTTCAGAGGCTGATCTTTCACCTTTCCCTTCACATCTTCAGGCCTCCACCCTGCCTGGCTCGCCCCCGAGCCTCAGAGCTGGCAGAGTTCCCTTGCCAAGGGCCTAGCACGCTGGATCAGCTCTTTCCTTGACTTGGGAAGACGGGGGGCAAGTTGGGAAGTGTCGCTGTTGAACCCTGGATAGATGTTTCTCCTAAGAATGCCATTTTACTCCGTGGTTAGAGTCTGTGGCAGGCTGTCATTGCTATGGTTTAGTTGGTTTAGGGGATGACATAAGCATCCTTCCCTTGTGAGGCTGTAGGCTGTGACGCAGAGGGCAGGGCTTGCCGCTGGAGAGACCTGGATTTGGATCCCACCTACTTCGGCTGAGTGGCTTGGCTCTCATGGGCCTATTTCTCCTAGAACGTGAGAATACAGCTCCGCATGCCCTTAGCCACAATGAGGAAATCTACAGAATTCAGGAGCCAGTTAAAAAAAAAAACGAACCTGATCCAACTTGACCTCACACAGTAAAATCTTAACCTGAATCAACATGAGGCTGTTTATAGAGTCCCCACACCCGGGCCACCCCCCACCCCCGGCCTTGGTGTGAAAATCAGTATGCTTTGATGTAGAAATATTCATCTGTTTGGCAACCGAGCCTGCCCTAGACTCCACTCGGGGTTTTCTGTAATATGTACTATCCATACCATATTATTTTCTAAATTAAAAATATGCCGAAAACTGAAACAGGTTTTAAGGTAAAAGACTGTGGCCTATTAATGCCTGCCTTGCCAAATAATTGTGAAAATTAAATCTGGCAAAATATGCATGGTATCTAGCTGGAGGCTGGCTCAGGTGGCGTCTGTTACTAGGTATAACAGAATTGCTTCAGGGAAAAGAGTCCCTTGTGCCAAAGTATGTACTTGCAAGTGAACTTCTGGAACACTATGAATTGAGGAATAATAGAATGGAGTTGGGTTGCATTTCATATATAGAAAGAAAAAAAAAAATGGCCCTGAGCTTATGAAACTAATCCCATGTCTCTAAGAAGTGAAGACTCCCAGAATTTGAAAACCTTTTATAAGAATTGGTACCCTTGTGTCTCCTAATTATTGTAAACAGAGTGGCAGTATCTGTTAAATTATTTTCGCAGTTAGCCATCAGCAACTGGCTAAAAAAAGCTTCCTGCAAAATTTACTTTAATGACAAAAATTAATTTACTTTAAATTTACTGCAAAATCTCCTTTAATTTAATTAAGTAGCTTCCAAAAAGACTTTGGATTTGGAAAAAATTTAAAATACAGAGCATTAAGTGACTTGATAACCCCCAAAACTAGTGACAGTTTTATGATCTTGTTAAAGTCACTGGTTGAATTAATTAAGCTTGTTAAAGAAGATCTCAGGCCAGGTACACAGTTGGCCACTTGGAATGTGACAGTCCTCCTTGAGAATTGTTGCTGCCGGGCCAGCCAAGAGCTTAAAAGAAAATAGCAAGGAATTAAATTACTTTGTTGGTGAGACCGTGGGATGTTGATTGATGCGGAGGAGAGAAATTGTGAGCTTTTTTGCTTTCTGACATGAACGTCATCTTTGCATGCTCTAGAAGGGTTGGGAGCTTGTTTTTCTATTAAGAGCCAGAGGGGGCAAAATGAGGACCATATAAATAAGCAGCAACACATTTTTCAGACAGAATTACAGAAATTCATTCAACAGAGAATAGTATTCATGGCTCTTAAACTCTCCTTAACCAATTCGTACACCCCTATGAATGAAGTAGCTGCCTCAGGTCAAGAGGGTAAGGTCACCAGGGCCCGGAGGTACAGACTGAGCATAAATAGAAGTCCCAGTGTTTACTCTCCACGGAAGAGTGTGCATGTGTATGTGGGTCCCGATGCGAGTGGGCACAGGTATATTTAGGTTTATTTAGAAATCATGAAAACAGAGCAGGAAAATGGACATCTCTAATATCTAATATTATTTTGTAAAGAGAGTGTTAAACATTAGAATTATCCCTAATTTCTTTGACCATTTCTCCCCATCCTATTCCTGTTAAAGCCTAAATTTCAGGAACCTGGAGTATCACTTTCCACAATACATGTTTCTCACAGCCCACAGAATCATCTGACAAAAAAGCCTAGCTCTGGGCGTGGTACCTCAGAAGAAGATATTCCTCTCCCCTCTTCTCTCCATCATATGGATGGATTGTGTACCCCTAAAATTCACATGTACCTCCGAATAAGACCTAATTAGAAGATAGGATTTTTTTTTTCTTCTCCATTCAATAGTTTATTCTCAATACCTAGTAAAATATAATATACGATGTAGACAATAAATATTTGTTGAATGAATTGACAGGGCTTTTTATTGATACTGTGAAGGAGGTTTTTTTAAATAATTATATTTCAAATTTTTATTGTTCATCTTGAAATATAACTATATCATTTCAAGTGTTCTCCAATGAGGAAATGATAATTGGAGAATTTTTTCTTTTTTTTTGAGATAGGATCTAAAAAATTTTTTGGAGTTAGAATTTTTACAGAGGCAGTCAAGTTAAAATGGGGTCATTAGTTTGGGTCCTAATCCAATACGACTGGTGTCCTTATAAAAAGGGGAAATTGGACACAGAGACATATTGGGGGAGCACCATGTGAACATGAGGGAGTCCTTCTATAAGCCAAGGAGGAGGGCAGATTCTTCCTCACAGCCCTTGGAAAGAACCAGTCCTGCCAACACTTTGATTTCCGACCTTAGCCTCCAGAGTTATGAGACAATAAATTTCTGTTGCTTAAGCCCCAGTATGTGGTTCTTTTTATAGCAGCCCTAGAAAACTAATTCATTCTCTATCTCTCTTTTTCCTCTCTCTAATACCTTTGGTACTATGTAGTGGCTACTTTAATATTCTTACCTATTTTTTAATTATCTCTGTATTCTGTCTCTTTGATTCTTTACTGTGTCTGTTAGAATTCTATAAAACTAGAGGAAAACCCATGTCCAGGGGTCTCTTAGGTAGCAGGTGACAAAGCCTGCCTCCTCGTTCAACATTTTCAACATTTTCTTTATATCATGATGCAGTGTGGTGGTTAATTGAACAAGCACTTACAGTTTTATCATATTTAGGACACCATACCAGTTACTTATTTGTAGTAAGAGACTCTCTAGGACTGCTGTAACAATTACCAGAAATTTGGATGGCTTTAAACAATAGAAAATTATTGTCTCACAGTTCTGGAGACTAGAAGTCCAAAATCAAGGTGTTGGCAGGGCCATCCTCTAAAGGCTCCAGGGAAGGATCCTTTCTTGCCTCTGCCTGGCTTCTCGTAGATGCCTCTTCTATTTTTATTTCTACTTATTTATTTATGTATTTATTTTTAAGAGAGAGAGAGCGTTTGTGAGTGGGGTGGGGAGGGGCAGAGGGAGAGAGAATCTTAAATAGGCTCCATGCTCAATGAGGAGCCTGACTCAGGACTTGATCTCACAACCCATGAGATATGACTTCAGCTGAAATCAAGAGTTGGACGCTTAACCCATTTAGCCACCCGGGGAACCCCTCTGATAGATGCCTCTTCTAGCTTTGGCATTCCTTTCCTTAAAGACACATTGCTCCAGTCTGGGCCTCCATAGTCAGTGGTGTTCTCCCTGTGTCTGTATCTGATATTCAAATTTCCCTCTTCTTATAAGGACACCAGTCATTGGATTAGGGTGCATCCGAATCCAGTATGACTTTATCTTAATTTGATTACATCTGCAGAGATCTTACAAGATCCCATTCATAGATTCCAGGTAGACATGAATTTTTGGAGAACACTATTCAACCCAATATATAGACTCTCATATTAACTTAAGCATTTTTATAATTCATGTCCAACATTAGTACTTGGACTTCAGTGTCCAATTTCCAGGGTTCAGATACTCTGTTTACTACCAGTGTGATCTTGGGCAACTTACTGAACATCTCTGTGCTCAATATCCTCATTTATAAAATGGCAACAGTAATAGTATACCTATTTTATAGGTTGTATAGCAATCAAATTAATTAATATATGAAAGGACTTGGAATACTGCCTGACGCATGGTAAGCTCTATCTTTCCCCTTCTCCAGTCTCTATGCTCTGATTTTGGTTTAAGAAAATACGGTCATTCTGTAACTGGGGAACTTAGACTAGTACCAGTTACATAGGAAATGCTAGTTGATTGATTGCTGAAATGTTAATCAT